TAGTTGAGTACAGTCCATCCAAGATCCGAGAACTTGTAATGAAGGAAGCAGAGAAGACTGAAGATGATGACCTTTTCATTAATGTAGTGATTAAGCAAATGATCTGTGATACTGATCCTGAGCTGGGAGGTGCTCTGCATGTGATGGAACATCTGCGTACTTTGTTTGATCTGTAAAACATGCTGTCCGTATCCAATAAATATGTAACATGTGATTTTCTAAATTTCTTCTATAAACCTTATCTGCATAACTTGATAGCACCACCTTTGGCCACCACTTCAGAAGACAAACGTGAAGGAGGTAATATATCCACCTAAAGCAAAAATTGCCCCAATAATTATCAAACAGCAGACCTGCTTGCTATAATTTTAGACCTACTCAAATTTTGCTTACAGCAACACACACATTACATAAAAAGCTCTATTTTGAGCAATGATTTGCTAAGAAGGGTCTTGATTTTGATGAATTCAAAGCACACTTTCCTGGTCTTGTGTGCTGTTCGCTTTATGAGAAGGATGATTGGCCTTAAAGATGACCTTTATAATAGTTACATCATCAAGGGAAATCTGTTTGACCCCGTTGTAAATGCTTTTCTGCATAATGGAACCAGGTACAATACGTTGAATTCAGCTATTATTGAGCTGTATGAATACATAAGGGTGGAAAATATCCCGTCTCTTGTTGCACATATAGTCGAAAGGTTTTATAAGGCACTTGAATCGATTGAATATGTCCAGACATTCAAAGGATTGAAGATTAAATATGACGAACAGAAAGACAGGGAAAGTCGAAGACAGAATTATTTGCGTTCCATACCATATGGTAACACACCTCACAGAGGTGCCAAAGTCTTGGAGGTAAAGGAAGAAATGTGTTTTAAAGAAGATATGGGAGTAGCAGTCATGCTACCATTGGAAAATAAATTTCCAGATTCTTTTTTTTTTTTTTTTCCTTTTTTGTCTTTTTATGTGTCCGGCAACGGATCGCAACCCTCAGTGTCGCGCCCTTACCGGACCGGGACCGGCAAT